TTGACTTTTGACCTCATAACCCAAAAAACAATCTCGAGAAAGTACTTTTTAAAGGAAGCAATTGAGGAAAAGTGATATATGAATTGGCCGAGCAGCCTTGGGAAATGATGTGGAACTCAATTTTTCTATTTACACACATTAACAATCGACTTCCGGTCATAAAATTCCAGGCATCGGATGAAGTTAACCTAAAAGCAAGTTTCTATTAAATTTAGTAATGACTTTGATCTTTGACCTTCCGAATCGAAATGCAATTCCTAGTTCGCTCTTTCCGCGAGGAAATTATGGATGAAGTCCAAAATAAGTCGTTCCGGAGAGGAATTGAGTCTGCGTTTTTTTTCTGTTTTTTTAGAAGTGACCCCCGATCTTTGACTCTAGAACAAGGAACGTAATCACCTTGAGAGCAATAACTTCCTTTACGAAAGCCCTGGTTTATGGTTGAGTGGAATTCATCACACAGCACTAGCGGAATTATTCAGACATTGAAGTGGGATGGACTGACAAACTAACTGACAGAAACGAAGATTCCGGAGACGATTGAAATATCGCCTTCAACGCTATCATGGGAAATCAACTCAAAAGTTTATTTTTTCTTCTATTTTTCTCGTTTATTCTGAAAGCACTACATCTTTGGATGCGTTGCTATTTTTAAGATCACAATGAAATACTAAAAACGCAAATCAATTATACAATGAAATTCATGAAATTAACAACACATTCACTTTTGTTTAAACGTCAATATGCTAATCTGTTTACAACTTTTTAATGTTCAAACACAGAATATGTTATTTCTCGTGAGAGTAAATAGCTGTTTTGTAACTTCTCTTCTGTAAAGTTCTGACAGTCTTTGTTTTGCGCACTGTGATTTACTACATTTTGGTCAAAGATACAATGAATATCATCACGCACGTGATCATTATGACGTCATTAAATTGTGTGTATAGAAGCGGCGATGGTTCGCCGTCAAAAAGGCTGTTCCGTTAGACGGATAACTTTGTCGATAATGAATGTTTTTTTCAGTTTTAGTTATTATCAGCAATGACCAGAAGCATGGGCTAGAAATGTCATAGTCAATCATGTGAACTACACTACACAACAGTAATATGTTGAACAGCTACTCAATCCATCATATATACAAAAATACTTCGGGTCGTGACAGCTCAGTATGTAAAGCATTGTGGTTTTGTTCTTTAACAAAACAGTGTACTCAAATTGCTTTTGATGCTATACGGCTGGCCTCTCGTATGTTGTTCAATGAAATAACAACCAGATGCTGAATACTCCACATGAAATTAGTCCGGGCTGTATACTGGTGTAATAAAACCAGCACACAAGAAACAGAAACTATTTTCTGAACATCGAATGACGATAAGCTTTTTATGTATAGATAACATCTTCATTGGCCTTAGTACCAAGCAATATTAAAACCCCATATCATTTGTCGCGATCAACAACACACTGTAAGAAGGTGTTATCACTATCTGAGCTTCAGCACTGGGTTGAATCCTTCCTCCCCGTATGCATGTGTGGGTGTTTAAGCAGTGAAGAAAGTTGAGTCCACAGTAATGTAAGTAAACAATTATCCCGTAAGTATTTTTACGGTTGTTCTCGAGGCATCTATCGCCACATGATACGAGCCGACAGGAACAAATGTCTACTCAGGTTACGATCAGTCTCCCATTGATCTAAGGTTAATGGGGAGATAACTTTTCTGTTTGCCGGGTCTGGAAACACTTACTTAGCATTACTATTGGTATCGTTTATCCAAGACGTAATCCCCCCCTCACCCCATCCAAGTCCCTATTTTTAGCTCTTGTATCGTTTATACCAAGCCTACTCCCCCATCCAAGTCCCTATTTTAGCTATTGTATCGTTGATCCCAAACCTATTCCCCCATTCCAAGTCCCTATTTTATATTTCTACACCGTGGCTTCTCTTCCAACTTGATTTATTCCCTAAAATGCGCCACCCTCTTCTTTATATTTTCTAAGCCGGTTCTTTTCAATACTTTTGATCAAATTCATTTTTAAAAAAAAGTTCCCCGAACGACGAGGAGTGCACAATGGCTAACCTGTACACCGAGGGACCATTCAAAAGAAATCATTATTACCACAAGCACGTGGTTTCCGTTTAACGGTTCTTTTTATCTCAATATTGACATACCGTAAATATGGATAAACAGCACAGGTTAATAGAACGATTCCATATGTGCACGTGGTATACAGAGTCACGTGTGGCGTTCTGGTTATTAACCAATAAAGATTTTATTTACACTAACGAGGAGATGTTTAAATTCCAGAAATATCTTTTTGTCTCTAGATGAAATTATGACTTGAGGGATATTCTTACTATCTTAACGACCCGTCAACACATAAAGGGTCATTAGCGCCATCACCCGGTGAAATACACAGCGATCCAAAAAGGAAATAACATCAAACAAACTAAAAGGTAAAAGATAAATGCTAAAAGTCATAGACTATGATATAGACCAACAGAAAATTTCATCAATCTCAACAGTTTCAAAAAGGGTCTTTAGACTTGTAACGTTACGATAGAAATTCCCTCGAATAGAGAGAAGGTCAATGTAGTCCAATAAAAATGTATAACGGTGAATAGCTCATCACATCCTATGAACCAAGGGTTATCTTCGCCTTTCAACATATATGAATGTGCAAGGTATGTATGGCCCATCTTGAGGAAAAAAGACTTTGACATATATGTATTTTGCATTTTCATATATGTAAGGTACTTTAAGTAGAATAGTTTTTATTGACTTGCACCAATATATAAATCTTTTGCGTTTAAATCACGTTCGAATTTTGTCAAAACAATACTTGACCACCAAATATTCTAAACAACCCCTCTCACCCCATCCTCCTCCCTATCCGTCCTGATCTATTTTTTGGTGATTTAACTTTATTTTGTTGTCATATGACCATAAAAAGACAACACAAATAAACAATTTCTATATTTTGTTGGCCTATCATTTTCGTGGTAATTACCGTCTACGAGTCACGAGTGTACATGCGTAAAGCACTAGCGCTCCCGAAGCTAAATAGATGATGCACCGCGTGCGATGACAGATGATATCGTGTGTCGGTCCCTAGGTCTACTTTTCTTGTGGAACACTCGGCTCCTTCACGTGCGGCTTTTTAGTCGTAGACATATAACTATATACCTACATGTGTGTAAGCCGATGTAAAACGAACACCAAAACACGTGTTTGCACGAGAATCCACAAAAAGAACAAAGCATTGTCAGGTTGCAATGTCAAATGATGACTTTTTTTCTAAGTTTCATTTTTTTTTAATTTGAACTTAATATATATAAACCTGATTTGAAATCATCATCTTAGAATTGCAAATATTAATCTATTGATATATCCAGGTAAATAGCTTTCTAATAAAAAGAAAATAATATTTATCCACTAAACAATGTCAAGCTGTTAGGTTTTATACATACACTATGATATCCACCATAAAGTCATCGTTATTATTATTAGTATCATTATTTTCGTTTCCTATATATATATATCTATTACGTTTTCCAAAAAATATATAAATACTTTATTTCTGTTTCAATCGTAGGTTTTTTACAGTACATAGATATACAATTTCATATAGAAACTTTATATATATATAAATTACTATTTTTTTAACAATCTGAACAGCTGCGCGTTAAAAACAAATGAGATTTTAATTATTCGTTCACGATCTGCGCTGTTGTGTATTGGCAGTTTACACAGATTTTTTTTCTAGTTACTACTGTGTTTACATAAAATAAAAAAGCAAATAAAGATAAAATTCTTATCAAAGAAATAAACTGAAAAACATTTTCGCATCACATTTCTGATTTCTAAAAACTCATATCTATAAGAAAAACAACAAAGATAAAGAAAATCGAAAGATATATTTTTTAAGAGTATCGGGAACAAGTTACATCTCAGGAAACTAACAATACTTATACACCGGGTCTAGAAGGTTCTAACGAAGCGTGGAGTAAAACCATTGTTATAATTATGGTTCGGTTTTAAATACCTCTTTTTAGAATACGTACATATTACATAATGATGTTATATTTGTGTATTATATTGTAATATTTGTATATAATACTGTAATAATCAGAAATATTCTGACCTTGTGTAGTAATCATTATAATTATGATGCAAGCTGTCTGTTTGTGTATGTATAAATACACGTGCATGTCTGATGGCTTAATCTGAAACCAGAGATGGTTACGTGCCACAAGGTATAATGATAATCTATTTCAACAACACGCTTGCATCAAGGTTACGGTATGTGCCGCTAAGAATAATAATCTATGTCAATAACACGCTTGCACCAAGGTTACGATAGTCCTTCTACACCCGTGTCATATTACACAATGCGCGTATACACAGAAAGCATAGTTTTTTTAAGACGATCTTTCATTGAAAATGATATTTACGTACTGCAACAAATATTAAATGCATGACGATTTTTCACTCTGCAAACCTGGATTCTGAGCAAATTAGGAAACTACTTTGTGCTACCATTCTTGTTTTCTCAATATTGTTACGATAATATAAGACACATTATCTATATCTGTTTCTGTTTTATACAAACCGTTCGCTTAATTTATCTATTTGACAATTTACCAGTGCGACGCGTCGAGTAAATGATAAAAATCATAAAACAATATTTTGTTTGGTTGTATCCTTTGATTTCAAATATGTGCAAAAATAAATATAGAAAAACTGCAGCACACAGAAATGTTATTTTTGGAATGTAATAATTTAATTAAATGCCTTTTATCAGCGTTTTGTACTTAAATGCTACGCAACACTGCCTCGCCAACTCTTTATCTTTAATTGCATGATGTTTTCTCGGGTAAAGAAAGAGCGGTATTTAAATACAAAAACCCACACAGCTGAAATTTTCCCGTTTTTAAGAATTTTTATTATAAAGTTTATGATAGATTTTTAAAAGAATGATATTTTGACAGACATGTGGATCACCTACCTTAATTGGTCGGACAATTCCAACCTCCTCTATAGACACGGTGGGAGCCATCCCTCCGTCGGCTTGTTTCGTGTTTTCTTCACTTCCTTTCTCCCCATCGGCGAACTCAGAAACGTCTAATTCCGACATCCTTTAATAATTTGAACACGTGTTTTTTATCGTAAAGAATACACTTTATAAATCAGTAAATGTATGGCAGGAGAGGATCAAGGTTTTAAATCCGGGACACGGCGTTTCACTGATACAACCGGCTGCTGGTAGTTACACTCCTGTGTAGAAGTGAGAGGGATCATGTATCGGGGTTCCCAGCGGGGGAATGTTCGTCTTCTGAGGCGCCATCTATGTTCTGGGAGAACTAATCATAAATGTCTGTCTCACAAGAAATATCATACCTGCTATGTTCACGACAATACAATATTTTGTGACATACACCCTCGTGTGTATTGACACATCGGTTCAAAGAATTGAAATTTAAGTTTAACATTGTATACCAAGATACTGATACATGTATGTACAGATATAAAAATTGTACGCCAGGAGTAAACAACGAGATGTGTCTCTTTACTTATATTTGTCTAATTTTTTTTTATTTTTTTTGTTATTTATTCTTAATATCAAATTAAATTAAATTTGTGATTTTATCATTTTAACATACTCCAAATATTTTTTTTTAAATCGCAAGTCAGATTCACGTGATGGTTTAAAATGAAAATGGACTTCATCTTTGCAAACTGATTTTCTCTGTACTTTTGATTTCGACGCTTTTCTTCATTTAAGGTATTGATTGATATATTGGAATGTCTTTCAAATATTCATTATATATCGGTTTTCTCAAGTAACATTACATATCACACACATGATTCAGTTGTACATAAACGTGTCTTTTGAAAGAATTTTTCCTTGGTATTATGGCTTAAAATATCAATAATCCTTTCCCGAATCAATTGCAAGTGTTTCAGATATTTTTCCAAACTAAATTTTTTAAAAATTTGAACCGAGTGTTACTTTACACTATGATGTGCTGTCTGTAGCAGGCCACGTGATGAATCTGCAAACCGATACTGTAGAATAATACATTTAAGGGGGACTCAAATTTCGCGGTTTTTAATATTGGACTTTTGATTTCGTGGGTGAAGATACAAAATTAAATGTACTTCGTTTTGCAGTTTATTGACGAATGAATTCGTGGATTAGTACACTGCAGTGCCAACAGAATTAACGAATGTAACATAAAAAATAATGATTTTAAGGTGATTGGCACAAATTATCTCATTAATGTATTTCAGCTCACACACACTATAAATGATATAAATAAAATCTTATGTAAAGAATACTTTTGTATTTCTACATTATATGAAAGGATAGATATTCTATTCATATTTACTCGATATCGGAAATCGGTAAATCAAATGTCGAATATTCTATAAGTTGTGAAAATAAATTGAATCAAATTAAAAATATTCTCAATTTATCATTACGTCACAAAAACGCCACTTTAAAATAAAGAAACCCTTATTGAGTTATGTCTTTATGTATTTTTTCCTGTTTACAGTTGTACGTTCATATCCTTATAAACACAGGAGCAGAGCTCGAACAGCAATATCATTATTGACACCAGCATTCATTGTGCAGTCAAACAAGAGCACTTCACTTATATAATTATAACATTAACGAATAAGGACATAGTTTACATAAGCTTTAAGCTTGTTACCAGACTTCTTGAAAAGCTCTGAATTGGTTTGAATCTATTTCAATATTGAATTTTGAATAAAATATCGTTTAAACTAAACACGTCACTTAGTTGGTACAATCATTCATCAGCATTTGTTTAACTGCTCTTCCCGGGAGTCGAGGATTCCAAATCGCTTCTAGAAGCACTAAGTAGTTTTGAGATTTACACTGTGTTACATAGTGGACATCATAATCGTCTAGATGTTAATATCATATCATAACCACAACTTGGCAAAATAGTGTTTCCATGTTTACGTTTGATTTACTTTCGAATGAGAAACAACGATATCATTATTCATTAACAGTGTTGTTTTATGTTATATATACACCTTAATGAACTTGTCAAAATAAAACGTGGAATATTAAAAGTGATTAAAAGCGATATCAAATTCAATGGACACTACAACAATTTCGAACCAAGTAAGACCTACTTATCTGTCAAATTCTATCGATTCCTTAGCTTCATCCTCGCAAAACTAAAAAATAATCGATTTGAAACCTACATGTGAATTATGTCTATAACAAGAGATCCCCTAACTGACCACGCCCCCCACCCACACTCACACACCCCTGGCCACTGCGTGCTTACCCCTAACACTGTAACTGCTCGTTATGTGTATTTAAAAGATACCGTACCATAAGCATTGGTCAATGGTTGTCACAATATGGCTTCGTAAAACATTGATGTAAATAACCCTCTCCAACTGATTATCAGAAGTGGCTGTAGATACAAAAGCAGCCTTTCGAGACACCTGAAACTGGAACATTCCATATAACCAAAAAGAAGGCCAAAGCAATTCCTCGTCTATATCTATTTGAAACCGAATACATTTGTTTCGACCAGATAATCTCACTCACTGAAGAAATCGAAAAAAACTTGACACTTGTCACCGAAGCGGACAACCGGCCCGCCGCCATATTTGCACTGAGTGTGCAAACCAAATTACGCACGATGCTAACCAAATACGCTGGACCTTCTGATTACTGATGTTGGCTATAGTACTTCTTGCTCCTCAATAGACATATCATGAAAATGTATGGACATACTTAATATGTATGTAACAAATAAAGACACTTTCTACCTAAGTAAACTTAAGTGGAATATACGTTCATTCGTTGCTGTCTTTAGATCGGTAAAGAAATATGAACATCTCCGTTTTTTGAAATTCTTATCTTTCCCTTAAGTTCCATTTTATTTGGATTGTTTATATACCAAGTTTTTCACTCCTTGAAGAGCAAGGGTCATCTATTTAGTTTTTTTAAACGGATATTTGCTCTTGTGTTCTAAAAAAATTGAAGTTCAGTGCAATATGGGCGGATGAATTTAGCAAAACCTCAATCATTATTTCATTACATTTCGATGTCTTTGTTCTTGCAACTTTTAGGATACTGTGTTTAGTATAAAAGCAATTAGAAGTAATGTCATGATATTACAGTTTGACAACATAGTTGTCACTTAAAGGAATTATCTTGAATACCTGTACCAGAACATTCAGCTTTTTCTCAGCATCAGCTACTAGTACTAATGCGAAATTCTCTTCCAGTACAACATTATTTGAACACCTAAACGATAGTCAGGTTGAGTTTATATAAATTATTTACATGGCAATAAATATGTTGTAATATCGTTAATAATTCAGTTCCAATACCACTGTAAATTGCCATTACTTTAAAAAAAAATTGGAAACCAAGATGTGCTGCAACAAAATTCTGAAGTGGGACATTAAAACTGTACTGTGTAATGCATGTGCTAATAGCATGCACGCTTTGTGAAACACTTGTCTTTATTGTAGTATTTTTTTTACTTTCAATTCAAATGTATGTCAATGTATGTTGACGGTCAAGGTCAAAAGGTCAAAATTTTGGTACCATAGAAAGGTCTTGTCACAAGGTACAAGGAACACATGTCAAATATGAAAGCCCTACCTCTTACAGTGCATTAGTTATGGACAAGGTTTGTGTTGAACACAGACTAATATACAGTACAGGAACAATATGCCCCTGGTCTTCCCCCGATCTTTCGATCCAGGGACATCAAATTCACCTACAACTTCCATCACTTTAACACATGCAAATGTTTTTGACTATGATATATGAAAGGTTTGCAATAAATCTTATAACCACAGTTTTTAATCAACGCTCTCTTGCACAAGATCTTAGATACAAACAAAGCAATTCATGCGTGTTTTCCATCACTGCATGTTAACTAATTATCTAACCGACTCGCCGAGCATAAACAACCGTTTTTACATATATTCCAGCATATCAATGTTATCCTGTCGACGCATTGTGAAGGGAATCCTGTCTGTACATGTAACGACGTGGTACAGCTATATAGGTATTCCCTGATGGGCTACTGGGTCGTGACGAAAATTGTCTTCCGTCGCTATTTAATCATTATGTTCAACATTTAATAAACAAATTTATTAGTAATTAGATAATTTCGAAAATAATGAATAACAAATCATTTCAACATGATAATACACTTTTGAGATATACCGTTGGGATACGTATAATGAGGGTCAAATGCTCTACTGTTGTTGCTGAAATAAAATTACAATGTTACAATTTTGACTCCTTTGTCGTTCCATATATGCATTGATCACAAATGTTGATTTTCTCGCAAGGTGCGCGTACATTTTGTAACACGGAGTAAGATATCGACAACATGAGTAAACAAATCTGATGACGACATTGCCCAGTAGAATTTTTTCGTCATCACTCGGTTAACGAAAAGTTTCAATATAAAAAAAAACAATCAGTCTTGTTTCTGATCTATTGGTTTGTTTTCTGGGATTAGAGGAGTTTTCAAGTCTTTATGATAATGAAAAATTATTGGGTCCATATCGATGAAGTGTATGCAACTATCATCATCAATATATTTTTCTTCCTCCGTAGATTCTACACCATTAGTGATGACGTCATGACAATTTTTCTCCTCGGCGACATGGGACAATGAAATTAATGTTAGTGATAAGCTAGTAGGAGCTCCAATCCTCCTGCGCTCGAGCAAATGCGATGCTTTTGCATACTGTCTTTGTGATTTGTTCTTAATTCTGTGTTTTCTGTGATAGCACATAAACGATACAAAAAGAAACACTATCATGATTACAGCTAAGGAAGTCACTGTTCCAATCGCCAGTACCGGAAGTTCCTCTTTTGGTGCTGTTACTGTGACACCTTCGCTCACCAAACGAAGGATGTCTAATTTATCCAACGCGGCAACCATGCTTACGTTACGCCCTTTTGAGGCATAAGCCGCCATCTTGGTTCATAGAAGACAAGAGTGGAATCAATCCGAGCTGTAAGAACAAATAAGTGAAAGTTATTAATAAGTTTTTTGGGTTTTTTTTAGATTTCTTGACTTTCATGTTTTGATGACAAAAGAAGTGGAAGAAAAGAAAGAGTCTCTTATAATTACGATATATATTGTTATAAATTTGTCAGAAGAAAGGTTAATAAATCACAGCCTGCCATTCTTAGGGTTCGAACTAGCGACACTTTAGTCTCTAGCCGAACATTCTACCCCTCGACTATGGAA